GTAACATTCTCTATTACTTTTTGTCATTCATAATGTAACCAAGGTTTAAAAAAGAGCCAAATATCCTTTCCAATGGAGTCATATGCTTTTAAGCCTTATTCCTGGCTGAAGATGGTGATTATGCTTGAAAAGCAAGAATGCAGTGTATGCCCCAGTACTGAAACTGTTGTTGTACTCTTTCAATCTTATTCATTTGAGTGGCACTTTGAAGATGAGAAAAGGTCTAAGGTGGGGAAAAGTTTCTCATATGAGTATAGGTTGTTGGGCTAGGCCCATAGTTTGCTTTCCATGGATACTCTCTCAGCATACTGATCAGGGAATGGGCCATCATCCATGGCAAAGCAGCATCTGTTTTGTTGTCAGCTGTGTCATCTGCTTGCTTAGCAGTACAGAAAGTGGAGGCTTCAAGACAGATAGCAGGAAACACTTCTTAACAGAGAGAGTTGTTAAGCACTGGAATAGGCTCCCCAGGGAGGTGGTTGAGTCGCCATCCCTGGATGCGTTTAAAAACCATTTGGATGTGGTGCTCAGGGATGTGACTTAGCAGAGGGTTGTTAGAGTGAGGGTAGGATGGCTAGGCTGTGGTTGGACTTGATGATCTTTAAGGTCCTTTCCAACCTGAGTGATTCTATGATTAACTTGTTTCATTTCTTAAGAAAAGCCAGAAAAATTTATCCCAAATGGAAAATGCTTGTGAGTTTTCTTCCATATCTACTTTGAAGTCAATTTTCACAGGATGGGCAACTTTAACAACTTATTTGCAGTTTTCTAAAATATTTTTCAAAAGTGGCCCTTGAACATTTCAAGACAGGTGATGAGTTTGATATGCTTGGATTTGAAATTTGAAGAGCATTCTCAGGATTTTTAGGACTTGAGAGTAGTGGAAAGAAGGAATACAAGGTGGTATTGAGAAAATAGAGCTCTGGGTCCCTGGTTCATATGGGTGAAAGCCAGGTTTTACTGTTCTGAAATAGTGCAAAGCTTGTGATCAACTTCACTGAGAACACAAGAGGCCACTGATCAGCTGAGAAATACCATACTGATTTTTTCCACTTGCACTTGAAAATTATGTTTCAAATGTAAAATGCTGCTTCCTTGAGTTTGTGCGTTAGCTCACTGGGCTGGTTATTGTCTTGAGATGCTGAAGAGGTTCGTATTGATACCTCTGGCAGTAGGCAATGGTAGTTTAGATTTCTTTCAGAAGTTTATGTATTACACATATTAATTTTGATACATCGAGACCATGAGCCTGTCTTAAAAATGCAGAAAATAGCACCTGTTCTGAAATAGGATTGTGAATATTCACATTTGTTCTTGAGGGTGGTTGTACAGTGTCTGAGATAATTAGCTTCTTGGTGTCTGATCAGTTCATTGTAGATCAGACAGCAGACATATTTGAAAGGCTACATTTTCCAAATCCAGCACTGATTTCTTAAATCTTTTGCCCAAGGTTTAAGCTCTCCATAAAAAGAAATCAGTGGTGCATTGGACGAAAACCTGGAAAAGGAGCCACCCTGCTTGCAGCTCCTTTTAGACGCAATCCTCCTTTGCAACTGTGCTTTAAAAGTGTTTGTATTGACGATGATGATGATGTTGACAGTGATGATGGTATGATGACAATAGTAGGCAGCGCTTACCCAGTCCACCAAGTTTGGGATATTAGCACTAGAAAAGCTGCTCAGTGAAAGCCTTAGGAGAGGCATGGTCGCTCCGTGCGTGGTCGTTAATACCAGCCCCTGAGCTCAGTGGTTTCTGAACAGGGCCAGAAGATCAGGCCCTCCGACTGTAAAAATGTAAATCTGCAATGTAAATAAAGCTTTGTTTGAGTTGTCTTAGTCCTGAAAGACTGGAGGGAGGCTTGTGTGGGTGCCTCGCTGCTCTGCGCTCATCATGCTTTCACTTCACAGAAATCGAAGTACGTACTGACAATGTGATTTGGAAGACTGCTTTTTCCCTTTCTCATTTTGGAAGGCTTTAAATTTTTCAGTTAGGCTTCAGGATTCTTGTGGCAAATAATGCTTTCACTCTTTTTCTGTAGGGAAACATCTCCTGTGACATTTTTGTAACACGTCATGAGAGTTACATTTACAGTGAATCATTTACAGTAAGGATTAGTATAGTGTTGTCCAGAAACAGCTTTATATTATCAGTCTTAGCCCAAGCCATGCAAGGTTCCACACCTTATGCAGAAGTCTTAATTAATATTGGAATATTTTAAATTGTATTTCATTCTCCCTACAGTAAAAAAAAAAAAAAAAAAGAAAGTGGGGAGGTGGGAATCTAGCAGTGCTCAAGAAGAGATTTTCTTTTAGCTGATAGATATAAGAGAATTTTGTGTAAATACTATTTTAATGTCCTTTTTTTTTTTTTTTAAGTGACAATTTT